ATCAGACGTTTCGTTTGTTTCGCCTTTTGGACAACAACAACATCCAAATCAGAGCTCGTCACATTCCGGGTTGCAGGAATGTCTTGGCAGACGCTCTGTCTCGACCAGACAAGCCATCCCCAACAGAATGGGTGCTTCAACAGAAGCATTCAATCTGGTTTGTCACCTCCATCACAGACCGTTAGTGGACCTCTTTGCAACGAAGCACAACCATCAACTTCCAGTCTACATGTCTCCTCTTCCGTATCCTGTCGCTTGGGCAGTGGATGCCCTGTCCCCCTCATGGGAGGGTCTAGACGCCTACGCATTTCCTCCTCAAGTTCTTCTTCCCAAGGTCGTAGCCAAGCTCAAGGAGACCAAGAGGATGACTCTGCTTTTGGTCGCGCCTTGGTAGCCGGCGAGAACCTGGTTCCCCGAACTACGTCGACTCGCCGAAGGAGATCCTCAACCGCTACCACAGTGGCCGCACCTTCTACGGCATCCTCACAGCCGCCTGTTGCACCCAGATCCCGACAGGTTTCATCTATGCGCTTGGTTCATCTTCAGAAAGTGCTTAAATCCAAGGATTATTCGGCTGGTGTGGCTACGATCATCGCACGTGCTCATAGTGTCCACCCGCAGCTTGTACGATGACAAATGGTCTGCATTTGAGAAGTTTTGCGCTGATCGCTCTAAGAATCCAGTTAAAGCTTCTCCTCAATTTATTGCAGAATTCCTCCTCTACCTACGCAACACTCGTAATCTGAAGGGTGGTACTATTTCTACTTATTTGGCAGGCCTTAATTCAGTGCTGGCCGTCAAGTCTGATAGGAAGGTCTCCAAGATCCCGGCATTACTGGACATGCTGAAAGCGTTTAAGTTGGAGGATCAGAAGTCGAAGTTCCGCCCTCCAGCTTGGGATCTTAACGTGGTTTTACAACACCTTCGTGGACGTCCTTATGAGCCTTTGTCTGTGGCCTCCATCGAGGACTTGTCCAGGAAAACAGCTTTTCTTTTGGCGCTTGCTACTGTGGCCAGAGCTAGTGAGCTTCACGCCATAGATTTCACCAGGATTAGGTTTGAACAGACTCGTCACGGTTCCGTCCATTTGGGTCTTCTCTGGGACTTCATTGCCAAGAACCAGTTGCCTGGTCAACCGGATCATATGTTTGTCATCCCTCCTTTGTCTTCTATAGTGGGCAGTGACGACTCCGATGAACTTGTGTTGTGTCCCGTCAGGGCCCTTAAAGAGTACATCAAGCAGTCAGCAGTCAGGAGACGTACCAGGAAACGCCTTTTTATTCCGTTTTCTTCTGTGTCGAAGGGTGAGGTCAACAGATATATCATCGCTTTGTGGCTTCTCTCGACTATCCTCGCAGCTTACGACTCTGCTGGTTTGCCTCACCCAACCGCCAACAACCCGCACGAGATCCGGGCCTTAGCGTCCACCATGGCTCTGCACAGAAACTGCTCGGTCCCCACTATTATGGAAGGTTGCTTTTGGAGGTCTAACGCAGTCTTCGCCAGCCATTATCTCTGGGATCAGACCTTTGGCCCGCTCGTGGTAGCTCAGCAACTGACGCGGCTCTCTTCTCACTAGGTGCTTATTCTTTTTGTCTAATCATCTTAGTGATAGTTTTAAGGTTAACCCACGTTCTCTCGTGTTGTGTTTTCCTTATCAGGGATTCTACCGGTGGTTTACTGTGCTTGTTTCAACGATTCCAGTTCAACAACAAGACAGTTTCCACGTCCCTTGTTGTGCTGTTTTGGTCTGATAGTTTTGGCTGGTCCTCGCCGGTGTCCGACCCTCTTGCCTTTCATGCACATTACCATGAGGTAAGGTAAGTTAAAAAATTATTAAAATCTCAATATTTTAGATATCTAAATACTTACCTTACCTCATGGCGTCTTACGCCCTCCCTACGATGGATCATCTCCTCCCCGCTTTGGACTCCGCTCGGACTTCAGGATTCGGATAAAGTGACGTGTTCTCGTTGTCACATGACGGGATTGGGGGTGGCTTCCGCTCGCCGGATGAGATGGACACGTCACCAGTTTCATGACAGCATTCAGCAAGGATACTTATCGATCATGTTTCCAATCTTTGTATCGGATGACGGAGGAGCAAAGGTAATATGCACATTACCATGAGGTAAGGTAAATATTTAAATATCTAAAATATTTAGATTTTAATAATTTCACAATGTTATTGGAAAAAAACAATTCTCGGACACGCCTCGGCAACGGGTCCACATCAAAGTTGTCAAAGAGTCACGTAACGATGTTTCGAAACAATTATTAAACAAATTGAATATACTGATGAATAAAATCAACAACAGTACTCACGAAAAGTTGTCAAACGTACATTATAACTTACTATTTCCATCTGTTTTGAGCGATCGTTTAATGTAATTCAAGTGACATCTCGGCTTTCGTCGCCTCGAACTTCGCGCTCGGACACGATGTTTAATGCTAAAATATATGCATGAAGCATTTTTGTCACAGGTCATAACCTAGCATGATACGTCCACTAAGTTCAATAATATACGTATAGGTGGTGATCTTTTGCGTAACAAGCTCAGAATAGCATGATTTTACCCAAAACTTTCATCTGAATATGAAGGTTTTCGTTTACGAGGACGGTATCCATTGCTTTTGTACGATTGGCGGCCTCAGGTCATGTGCACAATTTTGACCAATCACGACCCTCAGCAGACTAGGGCAGAAAAGCGTCATTAGAAACCAATTTTTTCCAATAAAATCGCTTCTTACAACTCTGAAAATACTCTTGGCAAGGGTACAGTGATATTGTTGATGTTCAGAGCTTTCGAACGATATCCGCCATCAAACAAATTGCCTCACGTGTTATTCATACGAAGCTTCCAAAATGGAGGTATTTCCCGCTGTTATATCACGTTAGCAAGCGGAAAGCTACTGATATCGGGAAATAGACGACCATACATAGTATTTGATAAATAGTTTTTTAATAATTTTCCAGTTACGTAAAAATGAAAAGAAAAAGGTAAGAGGATATTATGACATGTTACAAATACAAAAAAAATCACCGCATTTTTTTTTATCCCTTCGTGCTTTATCTGGACATTATAAATGTGTAAGCTTGCATTTTGATTAAATATTAACTTATTTACATTGTAGTTGTATTATTTGAATATCAGGATAAATAATAAATTTCATATTCAAAAACAGAAGGATTAGACCTTTCAAATGGTATATGATATGTAGTAGCAATAATGCTTTACCAGCTGATATTTTCCTTGATAAACATAGGCTTCATCTATGACCTCAGAGTCCCTCAGTGTCATGGCAGTGAATGCCTATGGTTGACTGTGTTGAAAGAGTTAATAAACACCCTAAATATAAACAATATATAATCTTTTCAGACTCTTTTTCTTGCCTTCAGGCTATCAAAAATCTTTCTTGCAAACATCCACTTTTAATTGAAATTATTGAATTTTATAATAATCTTGCTGCTGGCCAGTATGACATCGTCCTCTGTTGGTTACCCAGCCACGTTGGCATTTCTGGTAACACAATGGCTCATCTTGCAGCCAAGGCAGCACTCAACAAATCTGTGACACCACTTCTCATTCCATACTCAGATTACAAAGCTGGCATTAGAACTTACATCCATGATCTGATGCAAAAGAAGTGGGACACCCAAGTAGGTATCAATAAATTACATGCAATAAAACCCTATATTGGTTATACCTACTTGGGTTGTCAGTCCAGGTTTGAAGAGGTCATCATGCGCCGATGTCGTGTTGGCCACACAAGATATTCTCATGAATACCTATTTAAAAGGTGAGGATCCTCCGTTTTGCATCCCTTGTGATGAAAGAATCATGGTCAAACATGTCTTGCTTGACTGTTGAATATTCCAGCACAAGGGATAACTATTTCAAATCACAAACTACGAAGGATCTTTTTAATAATATAAGGTCTCATTTAATTATTGCATTTGTAGAGGAATTAGATTTGTTAACTGATTTGTAAATAGAAGTTTAAATTAATAACTCAGATTGTTAGTGGCTGTACCCTCAAGGGGGGTTAAAGTATTGTAAAATTATTGTCCTCCTGAGAGGGTACGTAAGTCCCAAAACACTCAAAGTAAATTTCAAACTTACCAGGATTTTAAGCGTAGAATTTTTGTGATTTTAATTATGGCTAAATTTAACTACAATCGCCAGCTGCGGAAGGGAAGATGTAAATCCAGCTTGGGTCCATGTAGGTGGCAAAGGTACTGTAAGTCCCCATGGTCCTTCGTATGGTGATCAACCTTCAGTTGCTGGTGATCTATAGCCCGTTCTTATATTGTACTGTTGTCTCTCGTGATATATTTTTATGATAGCGTACTAGTTTTAAATTAAGAGCTGTGATATTCTAGTAGTTTACTGTCCTTCGATGACAGGTTTTTACGTTGTATATTTATTGATTTGAATATTGATATCAACTGTTCTCATCACGATATGGCTGCAATATTGCCGATGTGACGTTACATTTTAACTCACTCACTCACTCTTGTATTCTTATCAGAAAGATGATTTAATATAAACTTTTTTATTGAAAATACTTGGGTTTTTATGACTATTTTCATGAAAAAGTTGTCTTAGGCATAGGTTTAACGGGTTAAGATTCTTCAACTTTTTTGGAGGTTGTGTCCCATCTGGGATTCAAACCCACACTGTCAGTTTGAGGCACCTAATCAACAGCACACAAACTTGGCACTCTAACCCGCTCAGCCACTGCTGTTTCCATTTAATGAGAATATTCATATGTTACATTTTACCACTTTTTCAAAGGCATTGTGTATTTACTCTGTGGTTTTGTTTTTCATTTGTATTCCAAGCTCTTAGCATTGCAATGAGACAAAATGGAAAACCAGGCACGTTTTTGCTCTGGCATTGTTTCAGCCATGTTTTCACGTACTTGTGGAGTGTCTGTGTAGAGATACAGACCTTCATAACTTAAGGGTTAGGTTCATGGTGTATTTACTCTCTTCCAGGATGATGAGGAGTTCCTCAGTCAGTTGAACAGTGGGAGAAGAAGCAACATGGGAAGCGACTCTGATGAACGTAGTAACTGGGTAAGATTTGAGTAGCATCAGGAGTCAGTGACGATAGAAGACAGTAGATAATTGTAAGCTGGGTAGATCATTGGTCAAGTAGAAGCCAGTAGATAATTGGTCGAGTAGCAATTGGTCAAGAGTCCAGAAGAAGGTCGAAGTAGAAGCCAGTAGATAATTGGTCAAGTAGAAGCCAGTAGATAATTGCTCAAGTAGAAGCCAGTAGATAATTGGTCAAGAAGAAGCCAGTAGATAATTGGCAGTGATTGGTGAGTTGAGTTTTACGCCGCACTCAGCAATTTTCCAGCTATATGGCGGCGGTCTGTAAATAATCGAGTCTGGACCAGACAATCCAGTGATCAACAGCATGAGCATCGATCAGCGCAATTCGGAACTGATGACATGCCAAGTCAGCGAGCCTGACCACCCGATCAGCATAGTTGCATAGTCGCCTTTTGTGGCAAGCATGGGTTGCTGAAGACCTATTCTACCCGGATCTTCACGGGTAGGCAGTGATTGGTAATGGTATTGGTTAAGTAGAAGCCAGTAGATAATTGGTCAAGTAGAAGTCAGTAGATAATTGGTCCTGATTGATAATGGTATTGGACAACTAAAAGCAAGGAACAAGTCCATTGATGCATAATTAATCACGGTCCTTATAGAGCACTCTGTACTTTCACAGAGTTATGTACGTTGTGTTAACAGACACATTGTCACAGACTGTAAACATCTTCTTTCTGCAGGGAAGATCTCTCCAGGGCAACAAACCAAGGTAGGTGATATCTGTACTGGAATAAACGCCATGTTGAACTCCTGAAAATGAAAATGCACAAAGTCCAGTCTTTGATTGGCTAATTAATTCGCAAATGTTTAAGCATTTAGTTTGTACGTCAACAGCCCCTGGTTAGATAAACTAATCACATTTCACACAAATGATTGCTCATAAAATGAGCTGTATAGATGGGTTTGGGAGGGCCTGACCAGACTGACCACTAGTTTTATTGGTGACAATGAGAGAGCATGTCTTGGTCTTTGAGACAGACTGACATTAGCCCTGGCTCTGTTATTCTGCTGAAGTAAAGTATAGTTTTCTTTGCTCTTTTTTTTATAACTTTGTTTGTTGTCATTTTTATCGTTCAGTGCATTATATACATGATATCCTGGTGAATCTGGAAGATGTTTCCTTTGGTAGAACTGGTCGTGGACGAGCGGAGTTGCTGGATGAACTGACAGACACGGAGTCGGCGGGTCGCAGACCAGGTCATGGTCAGTTGTGTTCACATGTAACTCATCTCTCCAGAGGTGTTCATATAGTCATCAGACTTATACTGCCATGGTTCATGGTGCATCAATATGGTGGGCACATTTTTGTGGGCCACAGCATTCATTTTAAGATTTGTCTTCATGCCCTGAAAAGTCGACTGTTATCCACCAGCTGTGTTGGTACTGTTGCTATCACTTTCAGACCCTTGTAGTGTTGCTCTACACTTGGCTGGGCCTATACTTGGAAGCGGCTCTGTAGTTGAAGTAATGCTTTGAAGGTGCTGATCGCAGTTGCTCACATTACTTGGAAGTTTCACATATTTTACATTTGTGGTGAATACTTAAACTGCAGTCGACCTATTTTTAGTTCACTTGTCTGCAAGAAACCACTTGACCAATCCCATAGAAACTTCACATACTTGTTCACAATAATCATGACATTCCATTTTGACATTTGAGTTTCTTGTCAACAGAAGCCGTACTGAAAAAGCTATTTATGACCTGTTTCAGCCATTTATGTTCAAATTGTTTTGAAGAAATGCATATGTTTTGCAGATAAGAGGAACGATGGCTTACTTGGGAATAGTCCTTTTGAAAGTACAAGGGGAGGTATGGCCCCTGGCAGTTACCCTTATCAAGGTCAAGGTGGCAGAGGTCAACATGGCAGAGGAGGTTACCATGGTAACCCAGGTCACATGCCATTACATGACTACACAGGTGGACATGGCTTCATCCCGCCACTGATGGGACCAGGCTATGGAAATATCAATAACAACTTCGCACCCCCAGGACGAGGTCGGGGATTTATGAACAGTTTCCCTGGTTACAGTGGAAGAGGTAGATACGGTGATGGTGGAAATATGTATAATGGGTCTGGCATGGGACGAGGGTATGGTAGATTTCCGTACCAGGAACACATCCAGGGTGGCGGCCATTTCCAGGATCCAGCTAGAATGTTCCCTGCAGGCAGAGGAATGCCGTATGGGCCCCTTGCACACACCTTCCCACTGCAGGAAATGAATCCCAACTACTATGGACCTGGTCGTGGGAATTCCTTCCCTGGCCCTAGTAGGCCTGGCTACTTCACAGACACGGAGAGAACTGTGAAAGGTTGGTAGTTAGCTGAAAGTGAAAGACTTTTCATTGTTATAGTTCTTTCTGTTTAAGAGGCGGTAGGGTGGCCTCGTGGTTAAAGCGTTCACTCATCACGCCGAAGACCAAGGTCCAATTCCCCACATGGGTACAATGTGTGAAGCCCATTTCTGGTGTCCGCCGCAGTGATATTGATGGAATATTGCTAAAAGCGGCATAAAACTAAAACTCACTCACTCACTCTTACTGTTTAATACCCCATCAACTGAATTCTTGTCACCAGATGTAAATCTGGTCAGTTTTCAATGTATTTATTAAAAGGCAAGTGACTTGATGTCTGTGATCACTTGTCAGCGGTAGTATTGACGGTAGTATGGGCTGTATCTGGAGTTTGGCCAAACAGGACCTTGTCAACAAGTGCTGTGTCATTTCTCTTCTCAGCCATATACTACTTGAAGTAAACCTGCATGGAGTCATTCACGTATGGCTGATTTACAAGACTGACTTTCTCCGACCTGAGAGACATTTACAGCCAAATAGCTGCAATGTGTCCAACTCTGAGGTGTTCGATAGAAACTCCTAGCCTGTGTATTCATTGTTTAGTCATCAGTTTGTGTGGAACCTTGGCTAACTCCAAGTGTTGATATAGCTCCCTTATCTTTGACTGTGTAGTGGATGTTGGTCACATTACTCTACTCTGTTTATGAAGTAATTTGTTTGTGGCTACCGTGAAGATCCAGGTTAGAATTGGTCTTCCCATGATTGTCGTGAGAGGCAACTAACGGGTTTGGGTACCCAGACTCGTTGACTTGGATCACTGGATTGTCTGGTCCAGACTCAATAGCTGGAATATTGCTGAGTGCGGCGTAAAACTAAACTCACTCACTCCCCTGTTTACAAAGAATTTCTCTTCTGTGGGCAGTAATGGCAGTTTGGTCATTGTGGATCTTTGAAATATCAGGGCAGTATATGTGCATTTGTTACATTTTGAGGAAAATATTCACTTCTTCAGAAGTTAGGTTTTGAGATGATTTTTAGTCATTGATCATTGACTGAAGTACTGTCGGAAATAGAAAACAAGGCTGTTTAGGCTGTTACTCTGTGTCCCTAAAATTTACACAATTGCAAATAGCATATGTCGAAATAGCTCATATCGGCCTAACTGGGTGTTCAGTGGGATGTGGATTAGGATATCCAGAAAAGCATGTTTACTTGTAAAATCTGCCAAAACTTTAGAAAAAAGATCAGAGTATAGATGGCAATTAGGTAGCTCAGCCAGGTATGACGACAGACCGTCGACTCACCTGGCATGAAATGCATGTGCTGCCCACAAAAGATATTTTATGCATTTTAATGTGTGCTGAATGTGTCTCATCTATTGATTAACATCTTACGTGTCTTTCTTTCATAAAGTTTATGTTGAGATATGTAAAAAAAAGTATGAAGCCCATAGAAAAGACTAAATCAGCAATTGTGTTAAACTAGGTGTGAAACGGTATACTGCGGTATTAGTAGAACCACAGTATTTTGCCTTTGGTTCGGTATACCGTAATGCAATCCAAAAATTCGGTGTTTTCGTTTTTTGTACCATCATTTATTAACATTTTAAAACCTTTTCTAAAATGTCTAGAAATCGAATCATTTTGTCAAATTCTTTGCTAGAAGGCCACTATTTTCCTGGAAGTAAGTTCTCATATACCGAACTGAAACAGACCGAACCGAAGGCCTTGTACCGCAATACGTATCGTACCGTGGTAAGAGCATACCGTTTCACCCCTATGTTAAACGTCTCAAAATATATATATAGGAGGCAAGACCACCTGAAGATCGACAAGACTGGATACTATTTGTAAATTGTTATGACCTGCCGTTTGCTTCCCCAGTTTAATTCCCCTCAAGGATTATCTTATCTCTGCTGATGTCTATCCCCCAGCCCGACCCCAACCACCATCTGCGACACCCGTCTTGGTTTTGCTTTTGAGACGACCCCTCATACCTGTTTCTTTTCATAGCGATAGTTAGACTCCATATGGTAGCTACATTCTTAATTGTTTCAGTATTAAAATTATTATTTTTTACGTCCGTTAGCGTTTATAATGAAGCTAAGTTTAATTTCAAAATGGGCATTTAAAAAGTGCCCTTTATAATACAATATTATCGCACACTAATTTGCATAAAGCCATGATCTGTTCCAAATAAGTCGCTTTGGACTTAGAAAAAACCCTGCATTGCTCATTTCTGCACTAATCTCTCTTCAGTAAAGTCCTTTTTCTACATTTCCTATCTCCCTACCACTGAAACTATAGTTAGGCCGAACTTAGTTTAATAGATATTTCACGCTTTCACATATTAATTACATAAATTGTAGATATAAATAATAATAAAAACCCAGTTGTTTTCTATATCCGACAGTACTTTAATTCCCAACATATCTGTAGCTTCGAGCTAGAGATCTTGTGTGGCCTGAAGTGACATCCTTCATCGTTTGCTTACAGAGAAGCCTGCAACCAAGGCTGACAGTCGACCGTGCCTGTTCTGCAAGAAGATCGGTAAGCAGTGGAAGTTGGGTGGTCTATAACAGACCTGTCGGTGTGTATGGTGTCTCAGTTGATCCTACATATCTGGAATACTCTCACTCTGAATACAGCTGATAAAAGTATCTAATTTAAGGAAATGTCACGATCTTAAGTTTTTAATATTGCTAATACTTTGGAATGTAAATACAGAACACCTGTACATAGGCATACAATACTATGTTTAGGAAATTTCCAAGTTGGTATCAATTACCATGCTTGTCACCATCTTTGAACTAAGTGTATAACGGAGTCGAACCTGTCGGAGGTAAATGACATCGAGTGTTGTTTAACCATTAAGTGTTCTTTGATGCTGAACCAAAAGACGTAAAGATATGGTACTTGTTGGTCCCTGTGTGGCGCTCGGCATTGATGGGTACAACAAGGACTGGTCGGCTCAGGTATTCATGTTTAACTGTGGCATGGTATCTCAGTGAGCTAGCACTATACATCCAGCTGAAGTCTTGGCTAGTACAAGAAGCCACACGTACACACGCATGTTGTCATATGTCGTAAGTACGACATTAAACCCCATTTCACCCCACCACCTCTCCTCACCTCTTTGATTCTGTGGTGTTATGTGAGCCTATAAACCATTTTAACAACTGGACACTGATGTCTTGTGGACACTCCTGTACATGAAAAATTGATGGTTGACCTGTCAGAATAGAACCTTCTTTCCCACCACAATCAGATTAAGGCGAATGATGCTGATCTGTCTAAATGTATGTGTTTATTGTACAGGCACGTTACAATGTATGAGATGCAAGATGCCGTACTGTTCCCGCAAATGTCAGCAGAGAGACTGGGAGAAGGGCCACAAGAGTCTGTGTGTCGAGATAAGGTGAGCTACACCACTTCAGGCTGAATATTGTTTGGGACTGACCTGTTCACATTCTTGAGGGATAGTTTTGTGTCTGTGCTTTTTGTTCGAGCTGTATTGTTTTTGTTGTAAAATCTGAGAGTAAATTATTTTTCCAGCCTTTTTGAAAAGCAATTATAGTACAGACCTGTGGGGACTCAGGAATACAGGTGTACACCCGCCACCTCCATCACACTTCCGCGGGTTCGATCCCCGGCCGCGTCATACCAAAAGACATTAAAATATGGTACTTGTTGGTCCCTGCCTGACGCTCGGCATTAATGGGTACAACAAGGATTGGTCGGCTCGGAGTCATTATAATGTGTCTGAATGGGGTATTCATGCTTCACTGCGGCATGGTATCTCAGTGGGCTAGCACTATAAATACAGCTCAAGTCTGGGCAAGTACAAGCAGCCACACATACACACGCATTCATGTCGTCATATGAGCGAAATATTCTTAAGTGCGACGTTAAATACCATTTGACCTGACCTCACCCAACCCATGACACACTTGTAAGTGATGCACAAGGACTACATAGGATACTACTCCACAGGCTCTACTCCACAGGCTCTACTCCACAGGCTCTACTCCACAGGCTCTACTATATGCTCACTGTGTTTACTCCATGTTAAACAACTGGGAGAGTTCTATTGATATACAACTTCTATATTATTCTCTGCTGCGCGTTTAGCGCTAAGCAGGGCATATAGTATTAGGCTCCGTCAGTCCGTCCGTACTTGTGAATGCAAAAGGTCCCAGTCAGGTTTGGTGACCTTCACATAATTTCAAGGTCACAGCAACACTTCAAAGATTTCAGCATGTTAAGCTTGTCAATGAGATACTTCAAGAACCATTCACTTGATTTTCTTCATTTTTGACACGGGGGGTGTGATGATGCTTTTATGCAGAAGCATGTACAATGTGAATCTTTTTTCTTTCCTTCCCCCACCCCCACCCCCCTTAGAAATTTACGTACGAGGTAAGTTTTTTACCTTCTCACTCTCTCTTTCCCCCCCTTGGCCCTCCCGCTTCCCATAATTTTTAAGCATTTATTATCCCCCTAAATTATTTGTGATAGATTAACCAAACTTGGTACACATGTCAAGCATGATCCCTAGATGTGCCTTTGGAGGGTTAGACCCAGATGGGAATTTTATTTTTTGCCGTTTGCATGGAAGCATGACTTCGGCTGTGACTATGATAATAATAATACTGGAAATTTATATAGCGCTAAATCCAACCACTAAGTGGGTGCTCAAAGCGCTAAATGTCATCTTGTTGCATTTCCATGGCAACAAGTTCGGCTTCAACTGAATTTGGTGGTAGTGCTCCTTTCTGGAGCAAATCTTAAAAACCTTTCAATACTCTCCTTCCACTTTGCTTTGTAAACTCCAAATCATTTGACATTATCATAACTAGCAGACATATTTATAAAGAGTATTTTGCCATTGCGGTGGATATTGATGACTTTGTCTTCTTGTTTAAAATATTTTAATGTACAAATTCCCCTCTCTCTGACTCACTCACACACACACACACCCCAGTATGTGTACAAAATTGCAAAATTGTGTGTAGCTACTAACACTGCTATCAAGCAAGTGACAGAATCTACACAGAAACGTCGCTCACATTAATAATAAAGAAGTTGTATATGCGTAGAACTCTCCCCGTTGTTCACACCGTCTTCTAAATGTCACTCAAAGAAGTTATTTCGTGTTAAATCTACGTTTTACAGTGTTTACTTAATTTTCAGTGGTATGAGAAATTGTTCAGCAGAGGAACTGGACAACCGGTTTGAAGTTAGTGTGAACGAGGACTTTTTTGAGGTGAGACATTTTATCCCCTCATTACTCATTAAGAATCCAGCTCTCTGATTGATCCTTTTTGGTCATGTGAAAACCCCTCTGAACCACCTGTATGGATGTCATGTCACAATTTTGTGAGTTTTGTTCACTCCTGGTCGCCAGCGTGTGAGGTGGTGTCAAGATTGATTTTATTGTATATCACCCAAAATGGTGTAAAGCTCAACATCTTTACTTTACTTGTAAAACCTATACATCCCACAAGTGGCAGCTAGTATTAATACATGGCACTTCCACTAAACAGTTGTACAGTTAACAAACCACTGATTAGACATATTGAGCGATACACTACCTGTATAAGGCCGCCCGGGCATTTCTTACAGGGAATGGTGAGAACACATCAACATTCAACATGGCATGAAACCAGTCTAAGTAAACTTAGGCTCAGTATTATTCGTTACACTGCTATACTGAGTCTAACGAAACCTTGTGGAAGGTCGCGTCAGCTGACCTTTTCAATGGACCAATCAGAACAGAGCTTACCAAAATCGCGAAAGTTGACGTTCGCACAGACCTTTTGAACTTTTACCTCAAAAAAGTTTTGTACCCGAACGATTCCAAATGCTATTTTCCGTACGATCGCTTCCGAGTGATGCACATGGAGCACGCCACAACAGTGAGTAAACAGTCGATGAGAATAGTGTTTTGTCAGTATTGGTTAAATCCGTTCGTCCGTCTCGCGTTTGATTGGATGGTCATAGGTCGCTCAAAGGTTACCTGACGCGACCTTCCACAAGGTTTTGTTAGACTCAGTATAGCAGTGTAACGAGCCTAAGTTTACTCAGACTGGGCAAGGGGTGTGTGTGTGTGTGTGTGTTTTAAAATGGAATCCGTCTGTCCGTGTACATTTGTCTTTTCTGGAGCAGAGCAGAACTCTAAAACTGTTCACTGTTTCTTCACCAAACTTGGCGGGGCGGTGGGGTAGCCTAGTGGTTAAAGCGTTCGCTCGTCACGCCGAAGACCCGGGTTCGAATCCCCACATGGGTACAATGTGTGAAGCCCATTTCTGGTGTCCCCTGCCGTGATGTTGCTGGAATATTGCTAAAAGCGGCATAAAACCAAACTCAGTCAGTCAGTCACTCACCAAACTTGGCACATGCATAGATCTGGTGGTGTTCTGGTGCCTTTGGGTGTTTTGGAATTCTGAATAAAATATTTTTGGCGTTTCCATGGCAACAAGTTTGACATAGACTGAAATTGGTGATAGTGCTTCTTTCTGGAGCAGAACTTTAAAAACCTTTCAATACTCTCCTTCCACTTTTCTATATACACACCTAAATATTTGACATAATCATAACTCGTAGTCATAATCATGAAGAGTATTTTGCCATGGCGGGGGATATTGATGACTTTGTCTTCTTGTAATTTATTAACTGATCATTTAGACAATTACTGACAGTACACCTGAATTGGCTGGGGTTAAAAAAAATGTTGCATGACCACTCATTAATGTTGGAAACGGATTTCTTACTTGTTGATTGATGTCCCCCGCCGCAACACAGAACAGGAGACTATGTATTTAGCAGCAGACGTCTGTACGTCCCGATTGTTGTTAATGTGATATCTCATGAACTGTTGTACCCAATGTCTTCAAATTTGGTGACAGCCTACTTTTGGGGATTACGCAGACACCAAGTGATTTGGGTGACCTTGACCTTATCTTCAAGGTCACCACGACACTTTGATCACTTTTCAAACTTATGTAAATGCAATCTCTCATAAAACATTGCACCCAATGTCTTCAATTATGTCGACATATTCACACATTCCAATAGTATATTTCAGAGAAACTTTATGCAATTTAAACTGAATTACTGTTGAGTAAGATGTTCCCAAGTTGTTGCATTTGATGAAAGTAGTATTGCATTATCTGATGTCATGAAATTGAATGTTTCCTTAACGCAGAATGGCAGCACAACTGGAAGAAAGCCACCACCGAGGGATGTGAGTGATTCCTCCTCTGAAGGATCGAAGAGGGGTGGGCGTGGCAGCCGTGGACATGGGGGTAAGACAAGCACCAAGACCAAGCAAAGTAAGAAAATGACCCCACCTAAACAGTCTCCACCTAAAGACAAGAAGCCAGCTAGTGGCGGCAGTGGTGGACAGACCAAAGCTCACCCGCAAGCAGCGGGTGGCAAACATGGAGCAACTGCAAGTCTGCCCAGCAAGAAGACCATCCCAAGTCCACAGGCAGTGACTCGCGTTTTCTTCAAGAACATTACTAGGACACAACTACCTCTTGGTAGCTCTCTGCAGGTGAGTCTCTCATTTAGCTCCTGTCTTAGCCCTACAAGTGGCCTTAGCTTCTGTTGAATTATAGGAGTTATGATTGTTTTGGTAGAACTGGTTCTTGTGCCTGTGTTCAACTCCACATCATGGTCTTGTGGATACAGCAGAATTGGTTTGGGTTGGTTGCAGGTTGTTCATGGGCATTTGTTGTTGGTTGATGCAGGTTGTTGTGACTCACGTCGAGAACCCCACAGAGATCTGGATTCAGAAGGCCGTCTACGAGGACCTGGAGAAACTTGAGCAGCTGAAGGAAATGATGAACAAGGTACACTGACCAGCAGTGACGGTAATAGTACCGCACTGATACAGTCCGCAGTATTACCCCTATCTGTATGGATAGTATGCACTGTTAACAACAAAGCTATCTTTATGGATAGTATGCACTGTTAACAACAAAGCTATCTTTATGGATAGTATGCACTGTTAACAACAAAGCTATCTTTATGGATAGTATGCACTGTTAACAACAAAGCTATCTTTATGGATAGTATGCACTGTTAACAACAAAGCTATCTTTATGGATAGTATGCACTGTTAACAACAACGCTGGATAGTAAGCACTGTTAACAACAAAGCAATCTGGATAGTAAAATGAGGTGTGGTGGGGTAGCCTAGTGGGTAAAGCGTTCGCTCTTCTCGCTGAAGACCAGGTTCAGTTCCGCACATTGATACAATGTGTGTTTGGCCCATTTCTGGGCCTAGATTTTTGAAGCTCTCTTAACGCTAAGATAGTCGTAAGTGCCATACATTAACATTAACTTACGACTATCTTAGCTCTAAGAGAGCTTCGAAAATCTAGGCCCTGTTCTCCAGTGCTGTGATATTGCTGGAATATTGCTAAAAGTGGCGTAAAACCAAACTTACTCACTGGTAAAATATACTGAATCTAAGTGTTTCTACCTCTTTGAATTGAACATTACTTCCGTAGGCCCAAACTGAATCTATTTCAGTTGTACAAGGAACACTGATTGTACTAATGCCGGGATTTCAGGTCTGTGGCGGCAGCACCAACAAGGTGACAGCACCCATGGTGGGCGACGTACTGGCAGCACAGTTTGAGCAACAGTGGTATCGTGCTGTTGTCAGGTCTCTCAAAGCTCCAGATAATGCCACAGTGTTTTACTTCGACTACGGCAACACGGCCACAGTAACATACTCTAAGCTGGGGAATGTGACAGAAGAAATGTGCAGACTCCCTGCTCAGGTGAGTGTACATAAGGATCACACTGCAAGGAGGTGAACAAGATTAACAACTGCCTCTTCTCCATACAGACACTGACAGCATGAAGTCTTGTATAGTATAACCAGAAATAATTGAGAATTTTAGGAATATGTTTAATTGGATTTCTAGTATAAACCTTGACCAGCTATCAAGTGCTTGGTTTCATTCAAGAGAGACAACTCCGTTAATCCTTTTTCATTAGTTTGTGAAGAGTTATCCCCCTTGTTTACTTGCTAGCAGACGACATTTTCAGTGATCCTCAGTATGGATGATTTAGAGAAGAGGAAGTTGATTTTAGAGTATTATAACAAGGACATCAGATCAGCTAAAGTGATTTCAAGTAGAACAGGCATCCCTTTGTCCACTGTTTATCGTGTATTTGAAAAATATTGCAAATGGATATGGCATGGAGCACCAGGGAGGCACAGGTAGGCCTAGAAAATTGACTGTCGGTGACAGGAGGCAGCTTGGTATTCTTGTTTCTAAAAACAAACGAAGGAGTTTAGAAAACTTAAGGCTGGATATGATTGATAGAGGAACTGTGGCTGTCTGTAAGGAGACAATTAGAACTGAGCTGCATGCAATGGGTTGGCAGAAAAGTCGAGGAATTCCATCACCGATCATGAAACCTGAACAAAAGGAGCGAAGGTTGAACTGGTGCTTACAGCATAGAAATTTTAACTGGGACAATGTGATTTTCTCAGATGAAAGTTCTGTGTGGCTGTTTCCTAATACGCTGAAATTCCCTTGGGCATGGCAGGACCCTATGACCTCTGATTCAATCTGGTATCACTTCGTCCTTCCTTCCCTCATTAAGCTGAAACACCATGATATAACAGGAATAGTGGTCTCAGAGCCAGCTCACTCAGACACCCAAGCGATCAGTTGCTCACATTTCATATTCTGTTAACTCTGTAGATCCAGGTGAGAACTGGTCTTCACCAATACAAACTTATCGTGAAAGTCATGTAGCTGGATCAAGTTTTCAGGCTCACTGACGTTATTGATACATGCCATCATATCTCAGTTGCTGTGATCAATCCTCATGATGTCAATCACTGTAGTGAGTGCTCCAGGCTCGATTATTTACAGACCATTGTTGAGTGAGGCGTTTAAACAAGAAACAAACATTTTGTTTCTGCAGGCTGTCCACTGTTGCCTTGGTGGCGTGCGTCCCGTGAAGGAAGGATGGAGCCAGGAGCTAGTGGCCATGCTTCGCTCGGAGCTGCAGCACGGAGTGTGTGTGTTCCAGGCCGATGAAGAGAAGGATGGCAGATACACAGGGCAGATGTTCCTTCCTGACGGAGGTATGATCCTGTAAATAACACGTAGTATGGTTAGTAGGCCTGTTAGTAACTGTTGTTTCTTCTGTTGACACGCTTGCTGCACCGTTATCACCCTGTAGTGTTTGTGTGGACTACAGCGGGACCTGTTAGGTGCTACAGGAAGTCCCACACACTCGCAGTACGGAGTCATCTGTACAGGGTGTGCTGGGAGACAGGTTTATACACTGTACAGACTTTTATTCTCTTATAGACTCCTTTATATGTTGGGAACTTCAATAACATCATGAATAATGAACTTAGACTGTATTTGGCCAGTGCAGCAGTTGTCCCACAGATAAACCACTTGTGTGTTGTAACAGAGAGCACAGGGATTTGGTGGTGAGTAACAACTATCTGGATCAGCTGGTCAGACTCGGTCATTGTGTGCGATGTGCCCCAGCTGTGGGGATCAGAGCTCACAATGTCAATCACTGGATCGTCAGGTCCACAGTATTATTTAATGGCCTTTGTCATACAGCACTTGCTGTGTAGTCTAGTTTCTGTTCTGTCCAAATTAATATCAACCTCTTTTCACAATTTGTTTTTAGATTTAAAAGTCCTTTTGTTTCAATCTCAACTTCAGGTTTTGAGAAAGAAAGCATGAAATTTAAAACATTTGCACCGTTATCACCCTGTAGTGTTTGTGTGGACTACAGCGGGACCTGTTAGGTGCTACAGGAAGTCCCACACACTCCGCAGTACGGTGTCATCTGTACAGGGTGTGTTGGGAGACAGGCGTACATGTAATGCAGAGATTTGTTTGATGTGAAGGTATTTATAATGTTACTCAATATGAGGTTATGAATAACTTTATTTGAGTGTTCTTGACCAGTGCAACCTGACAGGACTGCTCAGAACCTGACCTATTCTGTTGTTGTTTTTCAGGCGCATCTGTGAAGGACATGCTTATTGAAAAGGGACTTGCTCGATCCAAGGGGTGAGGTGATATGTTGAGATACTTTTTTTGCCAGCAAACAGTAACATGGTTTCTCCATGGTTTGACCAATCACGATCTTTATATAAGACTGGCGAAATGGCGTCATTAGAAACCAATTTTTAGCCAATAAAATCACTTCGTACAACTCTGAAAATACTCTTGGCAAGGGTACAGTGATATTGTTGATGTTCAGAGCTTTCGAACGATACCCGCCATCAAACGAATCGCCTCACATGTTCTTCATACGAAGCTTGGAAAACAGGTATTTCCCGCTGTTGTATCACGTTAGCGAGCTGAAAGTCACTGATATCGGGAAATAGACGACCATGCATATTATTTGAGAAATCTTTTTTAAAATAATTTTCTGATTACGTAGAAGAAAAAGGTAAGGGGATATGATGACATGTTACAAATGGAAAAAATTGCCGCATTTTTTGCTCCCTTCGTGGTTTATCTGGACATTATAAGTTTTTGAGCTTGCATTTTCATTAAATTTAAATTAATTACATTGTAGTTGGATTATTTGAATAATATGATCAAAAATATATTCATATTTATAAACTGTTGGATTAGACCTTTCAAATGGTGTATGATATGTAGTAGCAATAAAGTTTTACAAGCTGATATTTTCCTTGATAAACATAGGCTCTATCTGTGACCTCAGAGTCTCTGGGAACTCGGTGTCATGGCAGTAAAAGCCTCTCTTGCTGACTGGTGTTGAAAGAGTTAACTTCTCTGGTTACAGCCCACTGATGGTGGCCTCGGACATGACGACTTTGTCTGAATCTCTGCATATCGGGCGGGAGATGACCATCCTCATTCTGGACTGGAAGTCGCCGCTCCACTTCTCCGCCCAGCTGATGGAGGCCGACAATGTGGACAACTTCCACTCCCTCATAGAGGACATCAAGACTGCATGTCACCAGGAAGGCCCCCACACCAGGTCAGAGCCCTCCAGTCATCTCAGATGTGTCCAGCTTTGAGTTTAACACCCAGGGGCACATTGCACAATGTTGTGTTCGAGTGTGTGTTTGTGTGATTGCTCCCAGACTGTTGAAATTTTGTACACTGCTGTTAATAGTGACTATGTCAAGTTAGTTTGAAAATGAACATCTGAAATTCAGTTTTTAAGGCCTTGCTCTATGATTTCTACTTAGTGCATACTGCATGAAATAGGGAGAAGTGTTCTCAGTAACTACTGTAGGTACATGAATGGAAGTTTACAAGCTAATCCAAGAACTACTTGTGAAGTCTGAGTTAGAAATTTAGTGTCATTAATTACTTGTTTGACCAGTTCTATCCCCTGATCATTGTTTTTAGATTTTTGCATTCTGTCTTCTGTGAGGATAAGTTGCCTCAGAAACTAAGTAAGTTTCCTTGCTTATGAAAAATATTGTTATAGTTAACGTCCACTTTCATATTGTACACCACTCTATCTACAAAGAAAACCCTTGCCCCTTTAGGACTATCAACAACTTGTTCAACTTGGCGTAATAGCTGAGTGGCAATGCATTTCTATGTGAACACAACAGCGATGACATCGATATGTAAATGTATGACATGTCAGCACTTGAGATATCAGTATATTACTGGTTTGAATTATGGATGCAAATGAATATTGTGAATATTAATTGTTCCCCGCCACAACGCGGAACAGGGGATTATGAATTTAGCAGCAGCCGTACATACGTCCCGATTCTTGTTAACGCAATATCTCGTGAACTGATGTACCCAATGTCTTCAAATTTGGTGACAGCCTATGCAGGCACCAGTTGATTTGGGTGACGTTGATCTTATCTTCAAGGTCACCATGACACTTTGACCACTTTTCAAACTTATGTAAACGTGATATCTTATAAAACATTGCACCCAATGTCTTCAATTATGTCGAGGGGCGGTGGGGTAGCCTAGTGGTTAAAGCGTTGGCTCGTCACGCCAAAGACCCGGGTTCGAATCCCCACATGGGTACAATGTGTGAAGCCCATTTCTGGTGTCAGCCGCCGTGATGTTGCTGGAATATTGCTAAAAGCCGCGTAAAACCAAACTCACTCAGTCAGTCAGTCAATTATGTCGACAGCCTACATTGGGTGATTATGCAGACACCAGTAATTTCAGGCATCTTGTATATGACCAAAAATTAAAAAGTAGTAAATGTGTGAATATTTCATTCTTCTTTAGCGGTGGGGGACATTGCTATAATAGTGGCAAACACTTGTATTTAAGTCATTGCCTCAGAAATGTAGCCATTATGGAGGTTACCATGGTGGAGAGTGACAGTGAGACAGTTCAATGTCAAACATGTTCTATATGGTTGTAATACATTACACTTACCTATATGCTTACAGAACTGATCTTATTACTTGTTGTTCAGTCATTATGGGATAAACTGAACTGTCAAGTCAAAGGTGCCACAAGTCACTTCTCCACTTAATAAATACAGTGAGACCTCGGATACCCGGACCCCAGATATCTGGAAACCTCGCCTTCCGGTCAATTTTTAGAAAAACCATTCTCTTCACGTTATAAAGTGACTGTCTATAACGGATATTCGGTTTCCATTTCGGACGGTACATTTTACAAACAAACCGGCTAAATCAACACAAAATTGACTCACCTATCCGCCCATCGAAGCTTTGATCTACCGCTATCCGTGTGAAGGGAAGTCACGCGAGTCCCGTGTTTTGACCGCGAGGCGACGGTGTCATATATATTTTTTTGTGTCTAATATAGCTTCTCTAAATATCATATTTATTGTAGCAACAAACTGGCTTGCTTATTTTACCCCATTCAACAATCACGAACTGATTACGCCTCGTTTTCCATTGACTGCTAGTTTACAGTAACATCGGTAAAAATGTGTGAATTTAAATGGCCTCCGTATTTTACCCCATTCCATGTGCGTGAGGGTCCGTATATATATTTTACATAAAAACTGTAAATAAAATTCTTTGGGTTAAATAATAGTATTCTGTATTATATTTTACTGACGACTGCGTCAGAATTCATCCCGTTATATTATTGTGCATGTTTGAACTTGTTCGCGAGTAGCGTGTGCACAGCTGATTGCTATTTCCGGCTTTGTGTAATGCGACAAATCGCACGGTAATCTTAATCCCTGCAAATAATACAATGCCCAGCAAAACAACTTATAACTTAAAAGGTAAATAATCTTGTCTAGTGATGTTTAATTGCAAATTTGACGTCTCTACTGACAAAGTCGTCTTCTGTTGTTTGTTCACGCCGAAGTGATGATGTTGTTTATTCAGTCAAAGCAATAAAAGTGCAGTGTGTGTCGATATTCAAGTTATATGTTGTGATGCTGTTTTGAATGTCTATACATGTATAATAAACGCTTGATGATCATAAATATTTTGGATTTTCCTTGAGGTGTATGAAACCAAAATCCAGATATCCGGATATTCAATTATCCGGACGATTTCTGCAATAAAACGAATGTGTCCGATATCCGAGGAGTCTCACTGTACATCGTTTGTTATCTTGCAGCCCAAGAGTTGGGGAGTTTGTCATTGGTCAGTGGACGGATCTTGCTTGGTATCGAGCTGAAGTTCTAGAAGTGGATAAGACCAAGGTGAAGGTCCTTTACGTGGATTTCGGCAATGTAGAGGACATTGACATAACAGCTGTTCGAGCTGGAAGGGAGGCATTTGCACGACTCCCCATACAATGTCTGATTTGCCAACTTCACGGAGTTACTGCCCCTGAATCGGGAGTCTGGCCTAAAGAAGTCAATGAGCTGTTCAAAAGCCTTGCTGGCACAGATGGAGTGAGAACAGAAGTCCGGGCAGTAGTGAAGTCAAAACAAGACACAAGGCTTGCTGTTGAACTATATGATGTCAAGAATAAACCGATTTCTGTTGCTATCGCTGCAAAGCTGAAAGAATGTATTCAGAGTGTTCCAAAGATGGACACACTGCCATTGGATGGTACGTCAGTCCAGGTTGCCATGACAGAAGTTGTGTCATGTGACTGCTTTTATGTGCAGCGTGTGCAGATCGACGATGAGGCTGCAGCGATGAAGATGTTGGAGGCACTGGAGGAGTGTGGAGGGTCTCCAGCGTACACTACGCCGACCCTGGGAGAAATGGTGGCAGCTAAGTACAGCCAAGATAACGCCTGGTACAGATCAGTTGTAACGAGCGTCACCGACTCTCACTGCGAAGTCATGTTTGTAGACTATGGAAACGGAGAAGATGTACCAGTCTCGAGCATCAGGAAGCTGGACCACTCAGCCAGGTTACTGCCACAACGGGCCATGAGATGTCGCCTGGCGGGACTACACGAGGGTACTGCCTCCCAGAAAGACCTACTCAAGCAGCACGCTAACACGGCAGTACAAGTCCTGGCTTTGTCTGAGACCGAGGGTGTGTATGATGTCAAGGTCACTCTGATGGATGGGCAGTGCTTGAATGATGTGTTATCTGCCCCTGTAACGTCATCTGCAGTTTACACGCTCAATGATGTTGCCATGACAACTCCACCTGGTGGCAAGTCGCCTGTGATTGTGGTGCGTGTTGAACACCCTAGTTCATTGTACTGCCGACTTGTTGACAAGGAAGGTTAGTGACAAGATGTCTTGTATAATGTTCTGTATCTGTATAAGCTATAACACAAATGTTGATTTGAGGATTTCAGTTTTTAGACACTGTTAACCATGTTGCATTATTTATTTCCAAAATGTGATTTCGCATAGTTAAAGATTGAGCTGGTGGATGTAAACACAGTTACACCAGCTCTATTTTCACAGAGTACCCCCAAATATATATCTTGGATTCTGGTTTTGAGCATGGAAAAATAAAAATTGAAACATATGCACCTGTATCACCCTGTGTCTATATAGTCCTATTTCTGGTCTGTTAGTAACAACCTCAACTGATTTTCACAAAATTGTGTGTATGTTAAAGTTTGAAAGTCATTATTATGTATCTATCTCAACTTCAGCTTTTCAGTAAGATAAAGGTAAAAATTTAGAAGCACCTTTATCACCCTGTAGTGTTTGTGTTGACTACAGCGGGACCTGTTAGGTGCTACAGGAAGTCCCACACACTCGGCAGTACGGAGTCATCTGTACAGGGTGTGCTGGGAGACAGGTTTATACATTACACACACATTTTATTGCCTAAGTTCCTTTATGTGTTAAGAATTTCATGAATAATGAACTTTGACTGACTTTGGTAGCTGATGTAGTATTGATTGTAATCTGTGAAGGATCACGCTGCTGAGGGCTTTGACAGAAGGAATCCTGACACTCATTTGGATGTATGTTTGTTAGTCTGGCTTTTCTAAGAGAAAATGAACAGCATTAGATAACGAAATTGTTTGAGTTTTTGCATTTAAGGATTTCATATAGAAATTCAGAAATGATTTCAGTCTTTCAGGACATCTTGGATATGAAAGCAAGAATATAAACTGTCGTGAAACCCTGTTTTGCAGCGGAAGAAGCTTTCACCATCCTGTCTCGTGACATGGGCCTGTTCTACAAGGGGCAGACAACTCCTGTTGCTGATCCCCAGCTGAACCAGCTGTTCTGTGCAGAGGTGGAGGGTAAGTCCAGGACCAGAGGGGATTAGTCCAGGACCGGGGAGGGGATTAGTCCAGGACTGGGAGGGGATTAGTCCAGGACCGGGAGGGGATTAGTCCAGGACCGGAAAGGGCATTGTAGGGCCTGAGGATGGCCATGGCAGGTACCAAGGTGGCCATGGCATGGACCAGGGTGACCAAGGCACACATGGCGGAGACCAGGGTGGGCATGGCATGGACCAGGGTGACCAAGGCACACATGGCGGGGACCAGGGTGGGCATGGCGGGGACCAGGGTGACCAAGGCACACATGGCGGGGACCAGGGTGGGCATGGCATGGACCAGGGTGACCAAGGCAGACATGGCGGGGACCAGGGTGACCAAGGCACACATTGCAGGGACCAGGGTGGGCATGGCGAGGACCAGGTTGGGCAAGTCGGGGTCTAAAGTCTAAGGAAGACGAGTCCTGGGCTAGAGACTGTTTACAACCCATCCTGGATAATCTCCAGGGTATACATTCCGAAAAAATCTCCACTAGTACCCAGGATGCATCTGTTGCTGTCTCTGCATTCTTAAAGTAGCCAATCGGCTAAGCCCCGTTACAACCAAGCCTGCCAGTGTCAACCAAGATAGCGGTTGCAGCCGCGAAAGTTTGTTCGCAGTGTGACTCAGATTTGGGGGGAAAACATACAGACAAATTGACAGGTCTGAAACCTTAAAAAATATATGCAAGAACTCTTTCTACCTCTTTCAGAGTACCACTGCAACAATTATGTTGCCAAGTTTAATCGGTTAGATAAATGAAGCGAAAGTGAGTTGTGATTGGTACGCTCAACTTCGCAGCGTGACACCCGATTGGATAAAAGCCAGCCAAGGGATGTAATAAAATCATTAGAGCCGTAGATGCATCCAGTATATAGTGGAGATTTATCGTAACGTATACCCTGGAGATTATCGAAGATGTTTACAACCATGTGCTTGATGAACCCACAAATTGGTCAAGATGAGTTTGAAATCCCTCCTCAGACCTCCACTTAAGTTTTTGAGTGGAACTGGTCCGACTTCAGCCACTGAGGAGTGGGTCCGTGTTGTGTTTGACATGGTTGAACAAGTCATACCTCAGGAGGGTGGGTCGCAGTTTGTACGATCAGCCCAACCAGGTTTGCTACAGGGATGTGATGCAACATTCACACTCTCGCTGGCATGTGATGCAACATTCACACTCTCGCTGGCATGTGATGCAACATTCACACTCTCGCTGGCATGTGATGCAACATTCACTCTCGCTGACATGGTAAGAAATGCATCCATTTGGAGTTTTCCCCAAAGAAATCCTGTATGATCATATACTTATCATTCCCTCAATGAATGTTCAGGTTAGTAGACACCGTATTAAATGGTGAAAAAGTTATGATTTGTTAGTTTGATGTATTGATACTGGGGAGCAGTGATCATGAGTCTTTATGTACATTAACCCACTGTCACACTGGACATATCTCCCGACATCTTTGTTTGCCCTCCAGGTTCCTGGTACCGGTGTGTGGTGGTGGAGCGGAGGGGTGTGGCGGTGCGTGTCCGCCTGCTGGATGTGGGAACTATGGAGGAGCTGTCGGTGATGGACCTGAGAGCCATGAAACCAGAGTTCCTGGCGCTCCCAGTTCCTGTGTTCAAGTGCTCCCTGCATGGTAAGTAGATATGCAGTAACAATAGCTTGCTAGTAAGATGCAGTGGCAATAGCTTGTTAGTAAGATGCAGCGACAATAGCTTGTTAGTAAGATGCAGTGACAATAGCTTAGTAAGATGCAGTGACAATAGCTTAGTAAGATGCAGTGACAATAGCTTAGTAAGATGCAGTGACAATAGCTTGTTAGTAAGATGTAGTGACAATAGCTTAGTAAGATGTAGCGACAATAGCTTGTTAGTAAGATGCAGTGACAATAGCTTGTTAGTACGATGCAGTGACAATAGCTTGTTAGTAAGATGCAGTGACAATAGCTTGCTAGTAAGATGCAGTGACAATAGCTTGCTAGTAAGATGCGGTGACAATAGCATGCAGTGACAATAGCTTGCTAGTAAGATGCAGTGACAATAGCTTGTTAGTAAGATGCAGTGACAATAGCTTGTTAGTAAGATGCAGTGACATTAACTCGCTAGTAAGATGCAGTGACAATAGCTTAGTAAGATGTAGTGACAATAGCTCGTTAGTAAGATGCAGTGACAATAGCTTGCTAGTAAGATGTAGTGATAATAGCTTAGTAAGATGTAGTGACAATAGCTTGCTAGTAAGATGCAGTGGCAACAGCTTGCTAGTAAGATGCAGTGAGAATAGATTGTTAGTAAGATGCAGTAACAATAGCTCAGTAAGATGCAGTTACACCAGCTGGAGTTTGTTTAGGTTATTTTGGGGGGTTAATTTATATTTATAATTTGGTCAGGAAAGTAGAAAACTACTTTTTGTATTACCACCAAGTAGACACCAATTAGCAATAAAATTTAAATCTACCACAAATTATATTCATGCATGTCCTGACAAAGACTACCTCTTCAAGACATTAGCATTGCATGATAGAAGTATTTTATAAGAAATAGAAACGAAAGAGTGAAAAACATAAGAAAATAGCAACATCTGTACCTTTATCACCCTGTAGTGTTTGTGTGGACTACAGCGGGACCTGTTAGGTGCTGCAGGAAGTCCCACACACTCCGCAGTACGGAGCCATCTGTACAGGGTGTGCTGGGAGACAGGTGGACATAGTACACAAGATTTTGTTTCTTTCAAATAGTGTGTCTTCAAGATGGCCTGCGCCCTAGGTTAAAACATGTCATTGTGTCTGATGTGCCCAGATCAACGCTCATGTCAGTCACGGATTGTTTGGTACAGACTCAGTAATTTACAGACTGATGTCACATAGATGAATATTGCTGAGTGTGGTGTTTACCAATGATCAAACCAAGCTGCATTGACTGTTTGCCCTGTGTTTGTCTGTGTCCCATCAAATTGCTTGAGGCCTTTCACCTTGACACAACAGGAATCAAGCCCACTGGTGCCACATGGATCCAAGATGCCGTGGACGCAGTGAAGCGGATCGAGGGGCAGATGTTGCTGATGACCCTGAAGGGGAAGACAGATGAAAGCTACCAGATCCAACTGTCAGACACAGACGATGAAGCTGTCGAAGTCAGCGCCATCCTTGTGGGTCAAGACCTGGCTGTATCAGGTACGGAACTTCAAAAATTTTTGAAATGTCCTTGGACTCCACACGTATGAAGATCCGGTCTTCAGCAACCCATGCTTGTCGTAGGAGGCAACTAAAGAGATCGGGTGGTAAGGCTTGCTGACTTGGTTGACACATGTCATCGTATGGCACGTGGTCCTGTGCACAGAGCTCAGATCACAAATCAGTTGAAGTTGAGCAACGTCAAGCTCGGAGAGTCCTTGGATGGGCGACCGTGTTTGGCAACTTGACTCCTGAGGATTTCTAGGACTTCAGTCCTGCCCCACACAAAGCACGTGTGATACATGTCGTCTCACCTTAGACACGTGAGTTTCTTCAAACTTGCCTCAGTTTATCCAGCAGAAAAATTGGTACCCGGTGGAGTAAGTCATGTAACTATAACCTTCTAGCGCCAAACCTCACCACATGCACCTACATCAACACTCAAAATAATACCACATTACAAATGTCTTTTTTAAGGAAACACCACACGTGGAATTTACAATCAGTTCAGATCTTTTGGGGTAGCTTCGGAGTCCTCCTTCTGTGTGTAGATATGAAAGTTCATCCTGTGTACTTTACACAGTAGGCGGCCTGTCAGTACTTTATCCTGTGTACTTTACACAGTAGGCGGCCTGTCGGTACTTTATCCTGTGTACTTTACACAGTAGGTGGCCTGTCGGTACTTTACCCTGTGTACTTTACACAGTAGGCGGCCTGTCAGTACTTTATCCTGTGTACTTTACACAGTAGGCGGCCAGTCGGTACTTTATCTCGTGTACTTTACACAGTAGGCGCCTGTCGGTATGATCTCTGTTAATCAGCTGGGACAGCCTTGCAGGAGGGACATGTCACTATCCACAGACACTCAGATATCAAAGAGTCAAAATTCATGGGCGTTATGTCAGGGTCGATAACTCTCTCTCTCTCTCTCTCTCTCTCTCTCTCTCTCTCTCTCTCTTCTCTACTTCTCTCTCTCTCTACCTACATCAAGTGCCAGCCTAGATAATTCATGATCCTCATAAAATTGTAGTGCTGAACATTGTAGTGCTTGGAAGCCATTGTTTTAATGGTCATTGCTACCCTTACCATACTGCCTCCTACTGATATTAACCTGGTAATAATGTGTTACAGTCAGACAATGTCTCGAGTCAGCGATTGTTTGGCTGGAATAATGCTACAAACCATGTAAAACATTATTGTCTGTTCTCAAGTGTATTGTCATTGGAAAGGCGTTTGAGTTTGTCACCCATAAGGTGAATTTGTCATTCCTCATGTTGTTGAATGTGTGTTCTACTCCACAGCAGAACGACCGGGCCAAGCCTCCAGCGATCCACCAATCATAGCTGCTAGTCTACAGAAGTCATCACTACCACTGGACGGCACTGAGATAGAAGCCATATCGTCTCACGTACAGGACTTTGACGAGCTGTTCATCCAGGTCGTGCAGGGCGCCCTTGCCCTGAGAGACCTGATGCTGCAGGTGAATGTGGTCTGCCAGAATTCGGATGCCACCCTCATTCCAGGCAAGGGGGAGATGGTTGCTGCTCTGTTTGAGGGGGACTGGTACCGGGCTCGAGTGGACGGAGTCAAGGAAACAAACTGTCGAATCTTCTTCGTTGATTACGGGAACTATGACAATGTGCCTTTCTCATCTATCAAGAAGCTGGATCCGGAGTTCTGCCAGATTCCCATACAAGGAATCCATTGCTCGCTGGCTGGGGTGAACATTAAGAATGATAAAGAAAAGTTGAAACAGCTGCAGGAAGTTGTGTCAGGGGTGAAGCTGGTTGTCAAGGCGATCAGTGTTTCTGGAAGCATCTTCAGTGTCCAGATCCAAGTTGGCCAACATAATGTCAATGAGTTGTTCCTGTCAAAACCAGACGTTGTACCAAAGGAAGACATCTTGACACATCTTACTGAAACCAAAGAAACATCTGCTGAGACATTACAGTCTGACTCTGTACCTGTCCCAACGTTGCCGTCTGCTTCTTTGCCAACAGACGGATCTGCAGTGGAGGCAGTTGCCACAGACGTCCAGAGCTTCTCTTCAATATATATACAAACCATAGAAGGGTTCATTGCTATGCAGGAATTCACAGTTGTGTTAATCACGCAATGCATGAAGGACGAAACAACCATTGCACCTAAAGTGGGGGATTATGTTTGTGCTTGTTTCAGTGAGGACAGTGTGTGGTATCGAGCGCTTGTCACTGAGGTGACAGACTCCACGTGTAAAGTTTTCTTTATTGATTACGGAAACTCAGACACTCTTCCCTTCTCACAGATCAAGAAGCTTGATGCTAGTTTGCGCAGCCCCCCAATACAGGGAATGAAATGTCGGCTGGATGGAGTTGATGGAGGTAGTCCCGAGATGCTGGAGAAACTGAAACAGACGATCAGGGACGTGCATCTTAAGGTCAACGCTGTTGGGAGACAGGACGATGTGTACAGCGTGGTAATAGAGGTCAACGGCACCAACGTAAACGACATGTTTACAACAGATGTGAAAGACCAACAGCCAATGAAGTTTGTGAGTTTGGCAACGGATGGGACTGACATTAGAGCGGTTGCTACGTTTGTTCAAGGATTTGATGTCATATACATACAGACACAAGATGGACACAGTGTCCTCTCCGACTTGATGGACGAGATGAACGCTCAGTGTACCAAGAATCCTTTCACCATCAAGCCACGGGTTGGAGATCATGTGTGTGCTTTCTTCAGCTCTGTTGATGAGTGGTACAGGGCCAGGGTTGATGAAGTTACAGACTCACAATGCAACATGTTCTCTCTGGATTATGGTATTTCTGAAACAGTTCCATATTCATCAATAAAGAGGCTTGATAAGCAGTTCCGTTGTTTCCCAGTCCAGGGTATACGTTGTTCACTGGATGGTGTACCTGTGAAGGATGACCCTGAGATGATCACTAAACTTCGGGAGATGATCACAAACAAACACCTCGATGTCAGAGTTACTAACGAGAGAGATGGTGCCTACAGTGTTGAAATCAGGGTAGATGATGAACTACTTAACGACTACTTCCGTACAAATAATAGAACAGCTTCTCTTGAAACAAAACCATCTCTAACAACCCCTTCAAACATTCAGCAATCTCAAATACCCCAAGGTCTACCCTCTAAAACATTCACTCCCGAAACTCCATCATCTGGGGTGACCTCACCATCTCCCTCACCTCCTGCGTTGCGGATTATGAAGTATGCCCAGCTACCTCTAGGAACCACGGTGGATGCATTAACTACAGATGTCCATGACTTTGACTGTATCACCATCCAGACGATCAAGGGCTGCACTGACCTGCTGCCAGTCAGGGAGGAGCTGAAAGTTTATTGTACGAACACATCCGACTCTGTCATCCCTGCTGTCGGGGACACTGTTTGTGCTCTCTTCTCAGAAGACAAGGAGTGGTACAGGGCCAGGATCGATGAAGTACAGGACAATGTCTGTCAGGTCTTCTTCCTGGACTATGGAAACTCAGATAAGGTCAAAATTACCGATTTGAGAAAAGTGCCTGATGACTTCTTGACTTTACCCATCCAAGGTATCCAGTGCTCTTTGCAAACAGTGTCCATCAGGAACAATCAGGCGAAGATTGAAGAGTTAAAGAACATAATTTCCAATGTGAAGTTGTCGGTGAAAGCACTCAGCAGGAATGCGAATGTGTACAATGTGGAAATGTTGGTTGAGGAAACAAGCCTCAATGACATGTTCGCCACGGCACCTTCTGAAGATCAGGATCTGGCCACGATAGAACTCCCACGAGGAACATATGATGCCATTGTGATGGACATTCAGGACTTTGACTCTATCTACTTCCAGACATTTGAAGGTTATCTGGAGGTCATCGAGTTAATGAAGGAGATCAACGTCAGCTGCACCAACTGTCCCGACTCCATCACACCTCAAGTCGGAGACGCAATTTGTGCTCTCTTCCTACATGACAACACCTGGTACCGAGCACGTGTAGAGGAGGAAACGAAAGATGGGAGATACAGGGTCTTCTTCTTTGATCATGGTAACTCGGATGTTGTACAGCCTGCCCAAATAAAAATGTTGGAGAAGAGATTCCGTTCATTACCAGTCAAGGGGTACCGATGTCATCTGAATAATGTCACAGTCCGAAACGATCCTGTGAAACTGGCTCTTTTTGCAGGAGAAAGTTAGTGGCGTGAAACTACAGGTGACTGTTTTAGACAAAGTTGATGAGGTTTACAGTGTTGAGATTAAGGTGGAAGGTGAAAGTATTAATGACCTCTTCAACGCACCTGTGGTCCAGGCAATGGCCTGCAGTGAAATCCCAATCGACGGGTCGTCAGTTGAAGCTTGTGTAACACACATTGAGGATTTTGACGCCATCAGCATCCAGACTGTTGAAGGGGCCTTAACACTTGAGCCTCTCATGAAAGAAATCAACATCAGGTGTTCAAGTAATCCAAACACCATCACTCCAAAAGTTGGGGATATGGTCTGTGCTTTCTACAGCCAATACCAGTCGTGGTATCGGGCGAGGGTTGATGAGGTCACAGATACTGATTGTCAGGTTTTCTTCTGTGACTATGGAAACTCTGATAGAGTGGAATTACAGATAGTAAGGGAGTTGGAGTCCGAGTTCGCTGTTCTGCCACAGCAAGCAGTCATGTGCAGCCTGGATGGGGTGGACGTCCGGAACAACAGGGAGGAGCTGATGAAGCTCGCTGAGAAGGTCGAGAACCAGAAGGTGATCATCACAGCATCCTCCATGAAGGACGGGGGTGTACAAGGTCAAGATGTGCCTGGAGGATGGTGCCACAAGTGTCAACTCAATGTTCCAGCCACAGTGCCCCGGTGAGATTTGTAACATTTTACTGAAAACAACATGAATAGTTTGACATGAATATTACCAGCCCAGCTCTGTATAATGTAACACCGTTGGGGTGCATGTGTGAAGACAAATGACACAAGGAGATGATGAAGTAGAGAAGCAAAGGTTGCAGTGATGCATGCAAACTTAATGTTTAATTTTGTTTTAAGGCAACAGTGTAGATGCAACTTGTTAACAATGCGATAAAATAAGTGATGCCAATAAATATCCCCAGTACTGATCAAACACTACTCGGCGTATAGATAGATTTAATGGCAAGGCTCCGTCTCCAAGGAATTAATAGTTATTATGTTATTTCAACTCGAATATCTTGCAAAAATGATACTCTGTATAATATGTTAGCAAGAAGTGATTCTCAATTTGACTTAAAAAATATATGTACCTAGTGGCAGTTAGGATGATAAATAAGGGGGGTGGTAGAGGTGCCGGGTCAAAGTAAGAGTAGGAGCCTATGGATGGAATGTCAAAGTATAGTGAACTGTCAGATTGAATGTCTTATCTGAATGTGAATCTGAATGTGAATGAGATTGTTCATGGCCTAGGCATTGACCAGTGATCGTATTTATAGGCATCATCAGGAGGTCATGTGACCTTTCTCAGTCAATCAGAATAGTCTTCTGATGACTCTTGTTATAATTAAATAGACAATATCTTTCCGTCAACATAGTGTCAGTGGCTGCCATCTTGGTTAATGGTCAGCTCTATGACGAGTGAAATTTACAAAATAATCAGTTTCCTTTATCAAATGGTATTGTATTCACTTAATAAAGTGTCCGAAAAGATCGAACATGATGGACAAATGAGATTTGTGCTAACATCTGATATAACAAGAATACGGACAATGATATATCCAGACCAAGCGACTGGGACGACATTTTGACAGATGTCAAATGTATGCTAAGACCATTGACAACTTTGGCCCAGTGTAGCATCAATATGCCCTGTATCCAGGAATTGATGTTGCCCTGTGTCCTTTAATAAATCGGACAGTAACAAGATTGCTAAAATATTTGGTAAATGCAAACAGAGAAGACGGACACTTATGGTGACACTTATGATTGACAAAGTTTACATGATGTTTTTAATACATTTACTACATTAATTTAGATTCTATTACAATAACACCTTATATCCAACCTTACTCATTACACCATACATCCAGCCCAGCTCTGTATAACACCTTGGTATATCCCAACTTACTCATTACACCATACATCCAGCCCAGCTCTGTATGACACCTTAGTATATCCCAACTTACTCATTACACCATACATCCAGCCCAGCTCTTAATGACACCTTATTATATCCCAACTTACACATTACACTATACATACATCCAGCCCAGCTCTGTATAACACCTTATTATATCCCAACTTACTCATTACACCATACATCCAGCCCAGCTCTGTATAACACCTTATTATATCCCAACTTACTCATTACACCATACATCCAGCCCAGCTCTGTATAACACCTTGGTATATCCCAACTTACTCATTACACCATACATCCAGCCCAGCTCTTAATGACAACTTATTATATCCCAACTTACTCCTTACACCATACATACATCCAGCCCAGCTCTGTATAACACCTTGGTATATCCCAACTTACTCATTACACCATACATCCAGCCCAGCTCTGTATAACACCTTGGTATATCCCACCTTACTCATTACACCATACATCCAGCCCAGCTCTGTATGACACCTTATTATATCCCAACTTACATTACACCATACATCCAGCCCAGCTCTTTCTGACACCTTATTATATCCCAACTTACTCATTACACCAAACATCCAGCCCAGCTCTGTATAACACCTTATTATATCCCAACTTAATCATTACACCATACATCCAGCCCAGCTCTGTATGACACCTTATTATATCCCAACATACTCATTACACCATACATCCAGCCCAGCTCTGTATGACACCTTATTATATCCCAACTTACTCCTTACACCATACATCCAGCCCAGCTCTGTATAACACCTTATTATATCCCAACTTACTCATTACACCATACATCCAGCCCAGCTCTGTATAACACCTTATTATATCCCAACTTACTCATTACACCATACATCCAGCCCAGCTCTGTATAACACCTTATTATATCCCAACTTACTCATTACACCATACATCCAGCCCAGCTCTGTATGTATAACACCTTATTATATCCCAACTTACTCATTACACCATACATCCAGCCCAGCTCTTTCTGACACCTCTGTATAACACCTTACCCAACTTATTATATCCCTGTATGACTTACCCACCTCATTTACACCATACATCCAGCCCAGCTCTGTATGACACCTTATTTATATGTCACATCTACTCTGTATCCCAACTTACTCATTACACCATACATCCAGCCCAGCTCTGTATGACACCTTGATATGTCACATCTAATATGTATCTTTCACCTGTTTTACCTTATTTCATTTGTAATTCGGAGTTAGACAACCAACCAATCATTTGTGATTCCTGTTGCAGACGATGATGATGATGATGACGAAGATGAAGAAGAGGCTATACGGAAACAGATTGAAGAGCTGCAGCTCAGACTTGCATCCAAGACAAAAAAGAAGACCTAGATGTTGGTGACATTGTCGTCTGTAACAGCCGTTGCTGCATCATTCCTCCTGCTCTATGTTCTCAGCACCTGAGGTTACACCGAGGACAAGACGACTTCATCCTGATGTTCCATGCATTACGCATTTATTAATGTTTTGTGACCCGAAAGATGAAAGTTGTCATTATATTTGTTCAAGTTCCTTAAGAAAGGAAAGCGGCTTTTGCTTTTTATAATCATTTTTGTCAGTTTGGATTTTGATATATGCGATATTCAAGGCTTTTAACATTTTGAACCCATATTCTATTTGTGCCAAATTCTGACTTTGCTATTGACACTAAAATGTACATGCCATATCAGCAGTCTTTGAGATTTCTGATGAAACTTTCTGATTATTACTGCATTATAACCTTACAGAAAACAATCCTTTAATGTTTGCTTTCCAGATTCTACTGGCAATTCCCCACATCATAGTTACAGTCAGTGATGCCCATTTCTGGTGCTGAAATATTTGCTAAAAGCGGCGAAAAACCAATTTCTCACTCCCACTTGCTCACTCACTCCTTTCCATGGTTACCATGGTGACAGTTTTGATGTGTTTGGGTGAGGTGTTTTTTTGTAGCTGGAAACATATCCAAAGGGATTGGAGGGAGGTGTGAAATGCACGGTGTAAGATCTGTAAGGTATTCATAAATATACACCTTATCGTAAAATTTAATTTTTTTTCTATCTATACTAGATGTTCGATCACACCAGTACCTCTGGTGTGTACTTTTCTGGTGTCTCCCACCATGATATTGTTGGAATATTGCTAAAAGCAGCATAAAACTAAACTCACTCACTCACCCACTCACTCTGTGTACTTGATGTAATATATATATCAGAGGTAGGGCTTTTGAAGGAATTTTCAAGCCATACTTATCATAGTGTACTTGCTGTTTTAGTCCCTCCCACCTCCCCAATATATCGGCAACCATGAATGAATGTTGGATGCATATGAAGAAGCACTAGTGCAGATGGCAGGGTTTGCCTCACAACTATTAAACATGTTGGCATTGAAGAGGAGGAGTCTGTTTAAAAATCAGAAGAGTTTATGGTGTGATTGACAGTCATAACAGAAATGATATGACATGACAGTTAACTGATTTCTGGAGTCCCCTGCCAGAATATTGCTTGAAGCAAAATTCAGTGTTGTCAGTATGGCTTAAGACACAGGTTAGTATGCAGTTTGTCATTAGTTACCTCCCTTGTTTTAAGCAAGACCTGTTACTGTCAACTAATGCCAGTATGTTTGTGAATTATTAAGGAATGTTAGGATCTGAATCAAACATTCTACAAGGGACTCTTTTCCAGTGACGTGTTTTGCTTTCAAAGAGACAGTACATTGGAGGTTCTGTATGTTTTATGTCATGTTAAAAATATTTTCTGAGTGTGACGTTACACCTTTAGTTTATGCCTGAGGCTATTCTTCAACCAAAACAAATGAATTCTGCACTGTGAAACCCACATTTGGTTGCAAAAACAGCTAGGTATCGAGTTCATTTTAGAAGCAGTGAATCTGGATACTACTCACAACAAGTTAGGGAACACCAACAGTCAGAGGCTGCCACCCAACTGGCATGACATTCACTGTGGGTGTATGTACAAAGTGGTGGTCCTTAACAGGTGAGAAGTATATATCAAGCAATCATTTTCAGTTCTTAGGAAAGAGTAAATATTACATGAAAATGATTATCAAATCGAACTAAGTACAAAGCGTGGTACCACCCTTCCTGTGGAACCTGCCACAAGTTCTGTATGGTAGGATCCCCTTGTTGCACACTGCGACCAATCATGTCCCAGATATGCTCCAAAGGGTTAAGATCGGGGCTACCACCATGTACAAAACGTGGTACCACCCTTCCTGTGGAACCTGCCACAAGTCCTGTATGGTAGGATCCCCTTGTTGCACACTGCGACCAATCATGTCCCAGATATGCTCCAAAGGGTTCAGATCGGGGCTACCACCATGTACAAACCGTGGTACCACCTGTGGAACCTGCCACAAGCCATTGTCTCTCTACCTGTATTACTGCTGTCCCTATCCATACAAATCTAACTGATAACTGAACTTCGTGCAATCTTCTACCCAGCCTGGACCACAGGTTCATGTGGGGGTGTGTCTGTCTGTCCAGCATGTTGTCCATCCATGATCTTCAACTGTGAAAACAGTGGAACCATTTTGCCACAGCTGAAACCTTCAAAGCAAATTCCTCCATTCCAGTTTAGGGGTGTTACAGTCTTCCTGTAAATTTAAGTGAGATGTAGAGATTATTTTGATCTTGCGTCAATTATGCCTTTTGATCTTCAAATGGTAACGTGTCATTGTGTGATATTTGCGATCCCCATTACAAAGGTTGTTTGTTGTTTAACACGCACTCAGCAATATTCCAGATATATGGCAGTAGTCTGTAAATAAGTCTTGTCCAGACAACCCATTGATCAATATAATGAGCATCAATCTACACAATTGGGATACGATGACGATGAGCCTGACTGCCTGATTCAGTTAGTCACCTGTTTTATGAGCATAGGTTGCTGAAGACCACTTCTAAACAGCATCAGCACGGGTCCCTTTACACTGACTAAATTTAGTTGGGGTTAAAGTGTGGCAATATGTGTTTACTCATTGTATGGTTGGATGGTCTCACAAAATTTGATCACTGACATTGCAAATATCCAAAAGTGAGCTACATAACTTTTAGGCATGATTTGGACATGGAAAGGAATGTATGACAAGTATTTCATCCACTTTCAAATTATTAATTTGTAACCAAGTAAAGTAAAATTTGTGAAAACCAAGCCATCATGATGTCATATTCTGTCAACAAGTAACAGCCTCCAAGGAGATAGTAGTTCTAAAGTATCTAAATCAGCTAAGTCAGCAACATTTTTTATGAGCTCTATACACCCAGTGGGAAACATGCTTTAGTCGCCACACTGTTGTCTTTATCTTAATGAATAGCAACAGTGAGGTAGGGTACACAATGTGAGCTGCCAAGTGGTGAAGGTGGTCCTTGTGGTTCCTCCCAAACTCCATCAGTGAAGGTGTGAGGTCATCTATGTTAAAGGGGCAGTGTTGCAAGGAAAGGTTTCTATAGTACTGTCGGAAATAGAAAAAACTTTTTAGGCTCTTACTCTGTATCCCTAAAATTTACACAAATGCAAATTGGATATGTCGAAATAACCCACTTCGGCCTAACTTGGCATTCAGTGGGATGTGTAATAGGATATCCAGAAAAGCATGTTTACTCGTAAAATCGGGCAAAACTTAGAAAAAATATGAATAGCTGCTGAAAACAATAGATCAGACTATAGATGGCAATTAGGTCTCTCAGCCAGGTATGACGACGGACCGTCGACTCACCTGGCATGAAATGCATGTGCTGCCTACAGGCTCCCAAGCGGTAATCTCAAAGATATTTTGTGCTTTGTCATGTGTGTTGACTATGCCTCATCTATTGATTAACAGCTTATATATATAATTTTTTTTATAAGTGTGTTTCTTTCATTAAGTTTATGTTGAGATATGAAAAGGGTTTGATACCTGATAACCATAGAAACGCGTCGTATTAAATGTCTCAAAATATATAGGTGGCATGACCACCCGATCGACAGGACTGGATATTATTTGTAAATTGTTATGACATGCCGTGTATAATTCCCCTAAAGGATTATCGTATCTTAGCTGATATCTGATATCTCTATCCCCAAGCCCGACCCCAACGATCGTCTGCGACACCCGTCCAGGTTTTGCTTTTGAGACAAACCCTCCTATCTGTTTCTTTTTATAGTGACAGTGAGACTCCATGGTAGCTACATCCTTAATAGTTTCAGTATGAAAGTTTGTTTTTTTTAAAGCCAGCTATTGTTTATAATGAATCTACGTCTAATTTCAAATTGGTCACTTAAAAAGTGTCCTTTATAATACAATATCGTCGCACACTAATTTGCATACAGCCATGGTCTGTTCCAAATATTTCGTTTTGGATTTAGAAAAAAATCGCATTGCTCATTTCTGCACTAATCTCTCCTCAGTATAGTCCTTTTTCTACGTTTCTTGTGTCCCTACCATTGAGACTGTAGTTAGGCCAAACTTAGTTTAAGAGATATTTCACACTTACACATATCAACTACATGAATTGTAGTGATAAATGAGAAAATACGGGTTTTCTATTTCCGACAGTACTATAGGTTTGTTTTCCCTTGAATAAAACCTGGTAGTAACAATACCACTGATGGCAGCTTCACACATTGATTCACAAGCGTGTAAACTTTATGGTTTTACGCTCCCTTGATGAGACGAGGGCGATTACTCTGTAGCATGTCGTCCATGAATCCCGATACCCAGGGAACTGTCGGCCATGTCTTGCAACTTGCACACAGCAGAGATCTGCCAGATGCTGCTGTCGGAACATGACAATTGTCACGTTGTAGCAAGTGGCATTTCTTTTCTGATCTGGGTATCGTTGAAAAATTAGGTGAGCTAAAATGATACACACGGCATATTTTGTGTTATTTCAAGAAATATCTGTAAACAAACACTTCAGTGAAGGTGTCCCAGATGGCACAAGTACCTATTAATGTCATTGTCAACAAGTGCTGTTGGGTCTTATTTCTATTTTATTTTTTTATTTCTGTGTTCTCGGTATCTACAAAATGATGTAAGCTTGAAAGATTCACAGTGAAGTCTAAATAAAGTAACGCTAGAAAATATCTGTATAACTCCAGTACAACAGTTGCAGTCAAGATAAACATGTCAAAGATGGAGGTAGGAGTCATGAAAGATGTGCTTAGAACCAACCTCCACTGGTTCAAGGCTGACACGTGAGGCCAATTCGCCGAGTCAGTCGTGTGACTAGAGGCGGTCCTGTTAGCAGTGTGGGTGGAGTTAACTGTGTTTATAACATCCTCCACAGTTACAAATGACTCTTGGTCCGCGGACTTCAAACCAGTCCACGGGTTTCTTTGTGGGAGTTTCCCTGCCAGTTTCCTGGAGGTTATTTTGTAACATTTTTCTGAGACTCCAGATCTGTGTTTATGAATTCCTCCACAGTTACAAGTAGCGCGCTTGATCTGATGATCTGATATATGGGGACAACACATTCTTGTCTTTAATATCTGAGCCACCCTGTCATTGCAACTGAGGAGATTTTGGAAACATTTTTCAACGTCTTTGATAAGTGTTTATAAATTCCTCCACAGTTACAAATACTGCTTGATCAGAGAAAAAACTTCTTTCACTGTTTTAAGTATCTGGGCCACCCTGTCATCATTCCTGAGGATTTTTGGAAACATCCTCCTTTGGATTTCTGATCTTACTGCATAAAGTCCTCAATGTTTGAAATTACCGATAGGTAGGAGAATGTACTCATTTCCTGTCTGAAGTAATTCAGCTGCATTGTCATTGTAACTGAAGACATTGTGGAAACTGGCCACATTTACATCTCACTGGAGACTGAGATTTTACTTACCTTATGTTTCTTGTCCAGGGCCCGATTCAGAAAGCTACCTCTTATGTAGTAACATAGACTTACAACAGTCATAACGCTACAATAGCTTTCTGAAACAGGGCCGGGGACGCAACAACCTTTCACAAGTTATGCCAGGGGCAACTGTTGTTTTGCTTAGACTTGGGATACTGGAACATATTAGGTATTGGAAAATCAGTAATATTTCACTTCACGACATACTCTTACAGCAACATTGAAGAATGCAGCTGTTAAATGTTTTGAATAAACATTATGTCCTATCTACATACATTCAGCTTTAGCTTTCTATAATATGAGCTAAATGATTCCTGTATGATTATTGTTCAATATTTGAACCCACACTGACACAGAGTAACACCCCTAATTTGAAGATGTATAAATATTTGTGATGTCTATTATGAATAACAACTTAATGATAGTAAGGAGATGCATCCATGTGATACAGGCCCATGACTCCAGTGGAGTTGCTGAATCCCCAGGATGTACATTGTACAGAGTATCAGTGTCTGTTAGGATAGTTGCTAAATTTAGGATAGAGAGAAATTGACTATTAAAACCTATAGTAAATGAGCTTTTGTTATGATTGTGTTACATTTGTAAATCTTGATGCAGCCATTATATTTTCCATGGTTTGCCCAGTCCAGTTGGTACATTAGATTGGTGCGCTGTGTTCTAGGAATGGAACTAGCTGCCCCCATTGCTTGGACTAGGTTTGTATTGCATTGTACTGAGCACAGCATTTTGCTTGTCTTCCATCTTTTTCGTAAGAGCAGTTTAAGATTGGAGTTTGTACCAATTGATACGCAAACTTATTCCCCACCTTTGTAACTGAAATGTTATTCCAGTGTGTTATCTGTGTACTGTTTGTATTAGGCATTAATGGGCTATGGATATATTTAACATAAGTATTTAACTGTATGTATTTGTTTGATGTAAACCTACATCATCATGACTATAGTTTTGTATGTTTGCAGGTGCTTGTTATATATCCAATAATGCTCAATATTTGCCGATACTGTATTCAAGTAACCTGAACTACACAGTTTGTTTTGTTTCAATTTATAAAATCTAGATTTCACAGACTTCTCTCATACTTCAATGTATGTTTAGGTTACTGAGTTACATGCATTCTTATGACCAGATGGCTCTAAGTTAGATAAAATAATTACACAAATATTTGTTCCAATGTCTTCACAATCTAAAGTTCCAGCACTACTTTGTATGTCAGTAGTAAGCTGTGACATTGTATTGATCCATGCAGCCAATATATTGAAAATCTCAGCCATGTGTCAATGGGTATCAAATATGACAACAAGACTGAATACTCACATGCCTGCTGGGGACTCACATGATTCAGTGTTTATATATTGACATCAAAGGTGACAAAGGTGAGATTCTTTTTCTTTTTTTTGCGAACGAGAACAATCATTTCCTTGGATAGAGGTAGAGCCAAACTGTTTAAACTGCAGAGAGAACAAATTTAATTTGATTGTAACAACATTGTCATTCTGGGAGATTTTCTAGCCCAAGCCACATCCTCCAATTGTGGATGATAAGTTGTAACTGAATGTATTTTTCTTTTCAATGTTAATGGTGATTTGCTGTATGATGTTATATATCCAATGCTGTCCAAACCTCAGGTTCTGGACAGAATTATTTGGCCATGGTTACCAATATATGGAACACCCAAACTGGTGTCCTGATGTCCCAGATGGTATTAGTCGATACGATACGATACGGTGGAAAGGTTTGGTGTTCACTGAATGTATTAAAGGGAGGCTATCCAGGAGAGCCCGCCATACCAGTCATGAGGTTTGCCTATCTTATAGCTTGTAATACAGTGCCAGGTATTTTTCACTCTCAAAAGTCAGCAGTTTGTGTTTGTTATTTGGCAAGTCTCAAGCCTTGATTTAAATACCTGAGTTGTTTGAATCAAAGATTTAAACAGTTTCATTTTGAATGCACATATACAAGAGATTTTGTAGAAAGGTGTGCTACAGTTCTCTGTGAATTGGTGAGCTATACCATTGGTGTAAGGGTGAGCTACAGCCTTAGCTGTAAGGTGAGCTACAGGAGAACCTCTGGAGACCAGACCAGCATTCGTTGAGGGGCACTGACCATGTTGGTAACCATGCAGATATCACCGCCTTGATCTCAGACCAGGGCGGGAGGTCGTTCTTGAAGCCAAGGTAGTGATGGTTCCTACACTGAACAAGCTGATCAGTGGACGAATAGCTGTGTGTTTTCTTTCAGTTAACATTGTATTCCCACCTTGTAATAAAAAGTATATATTAATTCTTCGTTATCCTG